GCTGCTGGATTTTGAAACTACATTTGATCATCTTAAAGATATCCTTAAGGAGCTCCTAGAGCTTGCTAGAAGAGTTCATCTAAACCAGTTTCCTTGTATAATTACTTAAGAGAGCAATCGGAGAAGTAAAAGATACAAGAAAATTTCTCCATATTCTTTTAAAAACAAAGACTTTAGGTAACATTTAAATCAATTAAGCAGTTAAGACACAATACCTACTTAGAGTGAAGAGTAATATATATATAACCTACTGATAAACTGGAATCCCGGTATGGCGCTGTAGGCAAATGCGTCAGACCACAATCGTTTGAATTGCAAGGTCGGTGGTTCAAGCTCACCAGCTGCTCCTTGGAAACCTTATACAGGGTCATCATGGGTCAGCAGCACTTAACAACAACAACAACTGATATACCAAAATTAGTAAACTTTTAGGCTACTTATAGGTGAACCGGAGTCCTGGAGTGGTGCAGCAGGATACTGCACTGGACTACAAGGTCAGTTTGAACCACAGGGTTGGCGGTTCAAACTCACCTGCCACTCCTCAGAAACTCTATAAAGGGTGGCTATGAGTTGGAACCAGCTCAATGGCACTTAATGACAACAACAAAGACATAAGTGAACTGTCAGTTTTAGCACTTTGATTGTTGTTGTTAGGTACTGTTGAGTTGGTTCTAACTCAGCAACCCTATGTACAAACACTGCTAGTCCTGTGACATCCTCACAATATACAATATCTGTGTTTGAGTCCATTGTTGCTACCACTGTGCCAATGCATCTTGTTGGAGGTCTTCCTCTTTTTTTGTTGAACGATTTTACCAAACATGATATCCTTCTCCAGGAACCAATCCTTCCTAACAACATGTCCAAAGAACGAGAGATCAAATCTTGCCATTGTCCATGATAAGAAGCAATCTAGCCGTACTTCTTACAAATTTGTTCAATGTTCTAGCAGTCCATGGTACTTTTAATACTTCGTCACTAACACCATAATTCAAAAGAATCAATTCTTCTCTAGTCTTCCTTATTCACTGTTCAGTTTTTGCATGCATTTTGACAGATGGCCTCAAAACTGAATGAAAATAAGTGTGCCACACCATTAAATGTTCTACTGCTACCACTTGGTATTCAGAAGACTGTAGGTTTATATTTGTCTCTGTCTATGATTGTGTTCCCAGGGCATTTTCCAATTCTGAATGCCAAGAATTCTCATTTATTGACATGGCTAAGTTCCAAAGACAAGGCTTTCCTTACATGAAAATGGAGGATGAGCACATCATCAGGTAACAAAATACAGGATGACTATATCATTATATAACTGCCAAATGACATCATTACATAACTGCCAAACCACTGAGACTCAACAGTCCAGTCAAATTGACACATAACCTTAACCATCACAGCCAGTATTCTTACTTTGCAAGCTGGAATTCCTGACTGCCAGATCTATATCATTAATGTGTAAAACAGACAGTAGACTTTTTACTATGTGAAATGTCAGATAATGAGACAATTAGTAAGTGAAGGATAGGTGTATAACAAATATCTAAGCTTTCTGAATATCAGGATTGTTGTTCTAAAGTATTATTTCTAAAAAGTGACTATTTGAAAAAGTGACTATTTAAATCAGGTGTTATTTGAGAGTAAACAGTTGCAAATATAAGTAAAGTTTAAAATAAACAAATTTATAGTATACTGTAGAAGGGAAGAAAAGAATTGCTTAAAAAGCCACAGTTCAGAAGCAGGGACACCAGAGATGGAGGCATACATGGGGACATGGAGAGAGGGAGCAGCTGAGGACTCCAGATTCATGGGAAGAGAGGGACCAAGTGCTGGTGGCCAGGAGTCAGACTTGCAGAATGTGCCCTTTGGTGATGTAAATTATTATATATGCCTGAGTGTCTAAAAAACAACAACAATAAAAAAAAGAGCTAAAGTGAATAGAGAGAAATACTGTTATCTGATGGTACACGGAGGGGATTATAATCATTGTAATGAAACAAGGTGTATGATTTGTTGAATGTAAAACTGATGATCTGCCCTGTAAACTTTCAATCAATCCACAAAAACCTTAAAAAAACTGCATTGGAAAAACAAAAAACTTCACTGGTGAGCAAAAAGGAAAAAAAAAAAGGCATAGCTTAAAAAGCAGGATCTACCATTATAGCCAAGGGGATGGGTTAGGGGCTGAGTGCAGAGGATCCTCCATGTCATTTGAGCCAGGCCCACTAATGCCCCGAGAGTGAGGGGAGCAAGAAATGACATGGTATCTAAAGTACTTGAAAGGAAAGAAAAAAAATACGTCAGAAGGAAGCAATTAAAGCCAGCTTCATGGAATAAGATGTCTAATAAAATATAACACTTTTGAATCCAAAATTTTAGCAAAGCTGGGAAATATTGTTAACATCACAAGGAAACAACTCCTAGTTGTTTCCTAGTAGCTTCCTACACCTACTATTTAAGAGTTTAGTGTGTCTGGTCCCTTTGTCTAAATTAAGAATAGTCTGGTGGACTAACAGGCTTCGAAGCTTAAGAATAACAATTACACAGAAGTATAACAGCAGGGGTTGTTTCTGTTGGACTTTCAAACCCTACGACTTTGACAGCTGGAAGTGAAGCAATGGTGGAGGTGTTCTAGAGATGTGGTCAGGTGAGTAGAAGCACTGAGAAGGTGAATGAGGGCGCTTAACCGAGAGAAGCAGTTCAGCATCTATGCCAGGAAGTCTCACCAACTAATGACATGAGTCAGAAAGATAGCATAATAACACCTTTATAGACCAAGACTTTTTGTTTCTTTATAACATTCATTTTCTGACTTCTGAAGTAGTCCATGCTCTATGTAAAGGTTAGGAAAATGCTCCATAAAAAGCACAGAAGAAAATTTAATAATCACCACAAACTTAGCAAGTAAAGAGAACCGTTAATCATACTTTGGTGTATTCTTTTTCTAAGTATATATTATAAGGACTTCTGGCATGGCACTGTACGATCAGCACCGAACTGTGAACCACAAGGTTGGCAGTTCAAACCCACCAGTTTCTGACTTGACGGCACTTAATAACAACAACATATATTATAAAATAAATATTTACATCCTATGGTATAGACTATTTTATAACCTGATGTCTTCACTTTGCATAATATATTAAACAGCTTAGATATAGAAACGCTTTCTTATGGCCAAGTCCACTGTTTTGCTCAGGGGATGAAAAGATCACTTTGAGTGATCTTTGGATGACATGGAGGACATCACAGATGAGCAACATTTGAGTAGGGTAATTAAGAATGGTAGGATTTTTGAGAGACACAGATGAGGTAGGTGGAAGGAATGGGAAGAGTGCATTTAGGAATCATACAAAAGTGGCTGATATACAGGGAGTACTAGAAAGTAAGGAAGAAATTTAATATCTAACCTAAGGGCTGTGAATAAAAAGGAGAGGAATACCAGTTAGGGAATAAAGAGAAAGGGAGATGAGGGCCTTTAGACTTAGGGATTATATCATCAGTAGAAACTTTGGAGGGAGATATTCTATCTCAATTGGAGGGCCATAATCCAGGAAATAGAGTTATATCAAGAAGTTAGGTGGTGAAAAGAAAAATATTAGGACATCAGCACTGGGATTGTTAGAGTCAGTACAAGATGGCAACAAGGCTTGGTTTTAGAAACATCTCCTCTGAGACAGGAGGAGAGAAGAAAGCAAGAGCATAGGGAAGGAATTTATGCTCAATGTATTTATACTCAGTGATCTCAGTTTTCTCAGTGAAGAAGAGAGATCACTGGAGGGAATCAATCAGGGAAATGCAGTAGGGCTAGAGAGCATCACTGAGTGTCCAGTTCAGGTTGGACAGCATGTCTAGGCCATGCTAACAGAGTTACTCAAGGTTTTCCAGAATATTGAGTATATATCTAGAATCTCATTTCTAAATGAGATGGTGGAGGAATTCAGGACTGGATGCTGGCTGAAAGCCATGCAGACTAGGTATTGGTAAGATCAACAGTCATTGGTCAATGGCTGCCTTTTGTAAATGGGTTGGGTTGGCCCGGGTATGGAATGAGGCTTAAAGGAACCTAACAGACCGGGTGGTCAGGATGGGAGATGAAGTGCTTGATGGGACTTGTGAGTTTAGAATGTAGCATGGGAGTATTTGTCTATTTTGGAGGAAGGCTGTTGGTGGTCTAATGACAGTAGCATATTCCGATGCATATGTGTAAGGCATTATGCAATCCAGAAACATAAAGTAGAGAGAGCTAATCAACTGACTGAAATAAGGACTCTGCCTCTAAAAATGTGTTCTTCTAATCGCTGACTCAAACCGAAGTAAAAAACACTCTGGAAAATGCATCAACCTTAGCTGTAATCTGACAGCTGAATCTTCAATAATAGCAGAGACCAAGGGGTTGAAACTCAGGAAGGCTTGGCTGACAGCCACCTACCAGTCAATTCACTTCACTGAAAGGGATGGCTCAAGTTAATGCAGCAGTTTAAGTTACTTCAAGGCATTTCAGTTACAAACTGTAGAGTAGGTGCGGTATGCCCGTCACAGAAAAAGGGTGGTGCCCAAAGAAAATGTACAAAGAAAGTGTGTGGAGAATATCAAAACATAAGGAGACTATTTACATCAGGAAGGAGTTTACCTTTCTTACTCAACCTCCTATAAAACTACAACAATGTATGGCACATGTCAAAACTAGCAGCTATAAATGTGCACATGCATAAACAAAGCTTTGAATTTTTAATTATGCAATATATTGGAATGTTAATAAGCAAGAAAATGCAGTCTCTCTTTTTTAACCTATAGAATTAGAGTTAATCACTTGTACACAGCAACTTAATAAGGATGGATAATGATTTGAGAAAATGTAAGACCTTAAAGTTAAGAGCTGTTACCAAACCTTTTACACTAAAATCTAGGCGTCATAAACATTTTATATTAGGAGTTCAAGGGGGAGGGAGCAACTACAATGCTAAGTTAAAGAGAAACGAACTAAACAAATACAGTACCTCTGGATTCATTATCCCTTCTTTTTTAAAACAGCTGTAAAACATGTCCATGGAAAATACTTCACTCCAAAGATACCCATAGTATTGCCCATCATATCCTCCTGCCAAATGTCCAAAAGTAGCTGGCATATTTGTGCCTTTAAAGAAAGATACATTTCAATCAATGCCATGGTAAGTGTTAATTATCAGGTGATCAGCTAGCTAAGGTTTCCCTGTGGTGAGCCCAGCTGTGGGAGGAAAAGGTGATAGGATCTCACTTCTCGTACCTATGCCCTTGGCAGAGATGTTTACCAACTTCTCTCCTGTGATGGCTCAACCTTAGAGCTGGTTTCGGCCCTGATCTCTGGAATGCCTAGCAATACTTTCAGAGGCTGTCCACACCCAGCAAATAGTTCAGATTTTCACAAGTCAGTTCTTCCTTATCCCTTAGACGTATATGTCTTTAAAATACTGTAATGTGTACCTTTGTCCTTGCCACACCTCTTTATATCTAAAATGTGTCACCATCTTAGATTGCAAATTACTTAAAAAAGAATTGTTCACTTAAAAAATTAGAAAGGTTACCAATTCATTCAACCTCTTAAAGCAAACTAAGACAGTTGCTGATGAGTTGATTTTGATTCATGGCGACCTCCTATGTTGCAGACTGAAACTGCACTCTTTCAGCTGTGATCTTTTAGCAAGAGATCACTAGGCTGTTGAACCTACTTTGGGTGGGATTGAACCATCAACCATTTGATTAGTAGTCCAGAGTTTAATCTTTTGCACAACCTAATCTACCTCAAGGGCTATTTTTAAAAGGAGCTAAAGTGCTGCTAGAGGATCAGCATTGGACTGAGAACCACATGGTCAGCTGTTCCTCAAAAACCCTCTACAGGGTCACTATGAGATGACAACAAGAAAAAAGTGGCTCAAGGCACAGTGTTGCTCCATGGTCTATTACAAACAGATAATAAAAGGAAGCGAGGAACCTAGATAGATTCAATTGACCATTCTTTATTATCTCTCTAAGTGTGGCTGATTCATTTTAATAACAATTTCTTTAGTGAAAAAAACAAAAACAAAACTCTTTATCAACTACATATACATATTTAGCTGTATGCTGGTTTAAAATATGTAAATGAGAATAACACACAAACATAAACCTCAGATTAGAAACTGCTAGTCACACTGACTTAACTCAGGATCAGAAACAAGAAGTTTATGCTTCTTTCTAAAAATGTCTCTTCTGCCAAATCATAGGAAAGTTCACGGTGCTTATAGGGAGGGAGGAGCCAGGCGGCAGTTACCAAATGTCAATGGGTGTCCCTGCTCTGGGGTGGAGGCCAACCGCGCACGTCTGATTACACTAAAATGCTGCAAAACTGGACCCACCTTTCCTTCTAGCACATTTGGACAAGATAACTCATAAGGACAAAGCATGTTTATCTAAAAGTTAAGGCCTGATTATAGAAATCAGAAACAAATGAAGTTAGGTAAACCGTCAGACAAACTCTGCCTTTTCTGACACTGTCATGAGGGTGCCTTGTGCTTCATAGAAAAATGAATCCAAAACTTAGTATCTGCATACCTGGAGTGGCTGAAACACCTAAAATTTCGGTGCAGTATTTGGCATATTCACTTGCAGCATCCAGTGATATGTTGGTATGCAGAGACTGATCAACTTTGCTTAAAACAATCTGGCGTAGGGTAAGAAGACCTGATAACATAAGAAAGAATGTTTGGGCACATTTTAGAGAAGACAGAACTGTCTGTTCTAACATCACAAGATCACAGACTGCAGAAATTGACTGATTCCTGCAGTACTTATCACGAAATGGGAGCAAGACATTGCATTCTATGTAAGACTTAAAGTGACAGACATTATAAATACATATGAAGAAGTTACAAAAAGTTCATGGAAAAATTTCGTTTTTCACTCAATTTTTGAAACCTCCTCCTATTTAAAATATCACAGGGTTCCTTATTCCCATATATTAGCACTTTGGGGTTTAACGTTATTATCAAAGGGCAAAAACTTTCTATCGAAGAACATGTCAGCAATTCTGCAGGAAGCAGTTCTAATTTATTTTCCTTTCTAAAATTTCAAGTCATACCTGTGTTGACCAGTCTAGAAGCAACAAGTTTTTCAAGTAGATCATCCATAATAGGACTTCCAGTTTTATAATGCCGTGACAATCTTCGGAGAGAATCCATGTCCCATACCCAATTTTCAAGCATTTGTGATGGCACCTCTACAAAATCAGTTTCCACATTTGTTCCACTAAATCGTGCAAAATCAGTCTAGAAAGCAAACACAGAGGCATCTTATTAAAATTTTTGTTTTTGTTTATAGATTCCCATGTGTGTGTAAAAATGACTTTATATGATTTACTCCAAATACTACCATTTATTTATCTTTTTTTTTTTTTAACCTTTACTAACACCCAATCGTGATGTGGCACTGTCAGATAAGCACTGGACCACAAGGTAGGTTTGAACTGCAAGGTCGGTGGTTCAAATCCACCAGCCACTCCTTGGAAACCCTATGGAGTGTTGCTATGAGTTAGAACTGACTCAAAGGAGCTCTGGTAGCGTAGTGGTTACGAATCGGGCTGTGAAGCACAAGGTCAGTAGTTCGAAACTACCAGCTATTCTGCGGGAGAAAGATGAGGCTTTCTGCTCCCGTAAAGATTTACAGCCTCGGATACCCTGTACAGGGTCGCTATGATTCGGAACCGACTCCACGGCACTTAACCAGAACCAGAACCAGACTGACTCAACGACACTGACAACAGCAACCCTCTAGTTAGCAATTGACCCTCCTTTTTCCTTATACCCGTGGTAGACATAAACAATGCTTCTTTTAGCATGAAAACTTTTTTCTTTGTTTTTCATATCAGTGGTTTCACATGATACATGTTCTTTTATAGTAGACTTTTTAAAACTCAGCATTATGTCCTCCAGGATCATCCAATGTTCTTTGAATGAAGGGTTAAAATGCAACATGGGAAGTGAGTCCTAAATACTCCACAATAAGATAATATTTTATTCCTTTGACTCACAGACATACTTGGAGGAATCATCAGAAAATCACAACTAGAAAAAAAAATACATCATGAGCTAAAATAGTCCTTAAGTTTTGAAAGTGAAAATATTTCTAAGGAATTTTGCATTAGAGACAAAGAGCTCCATAATCTAAGAGGTCTTCCTGTACCTTCCATTTGCTTACCACTGTTTACTTAATATGCGCCTTTTGGAGGGCACTTTGCTGCTTAGCTACTTAAGCCAAACCAGTTTGGAGAATCAATTTTGACTCATGGCGACACCCTGTGTTTCAGAGTAGAACTGCACTCGACAGGTCTTTAATGATTGTGGTCTTTAAAAGTAGAAAGCTAGGTCTTTCTTACAGGGCATCTCTTGTTGGATTTGAAATGCCACACGTTAGTTAGCGTCCAAGTGCTTAACTGTGTGCACCACCCAGGGACTCCATGTAATTAATCAGTTTTAATAAAAATCAATTAAACAGTTCAATTACAATATTACAGATGTTGTTGTTGTTAAATGCTTTCCAGTCAATCCCAACTCAGTCATCCTGTCGAGGTTTCTAAGGAATGGCTGGTGCCTTTGAACCATTGACTTGAGGTTAACAGTCCAGTTCTTATCCTATAGCACCACACCAGGACTCTTAAATATTTCAGATGGATACCCTTTTTGTATGTGATATTTTGTGTAAACTGAGATAAGTTGTCCTGAGGTAACCATGTTGTAGAAAGCCTGTGTTGTATCTCTGAAATTGGGTGGTGGTGGTGGTGGTGGTGGTGATGTGCCATGGAGTCGGTTCTGACTCTTGTACAAGGTTTCTGAAGCTGTAAATCTATACGGAACAGAAAGCCTCATCTTTCTCCCGCGGAACAGCTGGTAGTTTCGAATTGCTGACCCTGAGGTTTACAGCCCAATTCGTAACAACTACACTACCAGAGCTCCTGTGAAATTGAGTAGAAGAGGTTATCTTAAAATAAATCATTCTGGTGGGAATCACGGCAAGGAGGGTAAAGTAAAATGGTATAGGGAAAGAAAGACAAAGAATGTATTTAGGAGTTAAAAGCCTGAGAACCTAGGCTAAGAACAAGAGACTTTTTTTTTCTTTAGTAAAATTCAATATACTGTTGGGTCAGATGTCAGAAAAGTTCTTGAACAGCAGTTTGGAGAATCACTCAAACAAGCTAGTGGTTTTTAACCTTCACACAATCCAAAGAACATTTGTACAAATGCCACTGGGAGGAGATAGCACTGACCCCAATGAGTTATCAGTACATGGGGGCCATCATTTTGTTGTCTTTCTTCACATTCTCTTCTGTTTTCCTCTTCAGATGCTTTACACCCCAATCCTTTCTCCCTGACTTCATCATCCCCTAGGCTCTAAGCGGAGGGGAGAGGGAAGAGGGACTTAACCACAGAGAATGCAGCAGATGGGATGTCGAATCAGCAGCAGATCACCATTCCGTTTTTGGCCCAGGGCAGAGGCACAGATGTCAACGCCATTTCACATTCTGCCTCCCTCTCTTTCTGCAAAAAAGTGTTCTGCTTGACTCACCATCATAATTGTGCTGATTATAGATATGAAGAGCTGCAAACAGCGAAGGGCCAAGGAAAACTAAATTCACTAGGAGCTGGAATTAGACCACCTATGATGAGGACATCCCAAGAGATAGCTCAATAGAAAGAGGCAAGGGCGCTAGAAACATGTTTGCCTCATTTGGTACCTTCTAACACCCAACATTAAAGGGGGTAAAAAAATTGTATACAATCGTCATAATTGCTGTTGTGTGATGTTGAATGGGTTCGGACTCATAGAGACCCTGTATAGGGTTCCTGAGGCTGTGAGTCTTTATGGAAGCAGAGAGTATCATCTTTTTCCTGCGAAATGGCAGGTGGGCTCGAACAGCAGACTTTGTGGTTCATAGTCCATTGCTTATTCTACAGAGCCATCCCATTCCCTAATTATAACAATAGTCAACATCTGTTGAGAGTTTACCATATTAGGCATTATGCCAGACTCTTTACATGAATTATTTGATTTAAATTCCAAAACAATTGTATGAGGTAAGTATTATTACCTCCACGTTAGAGATGTGGGCACAGGGGCATACCTGTGAGAATAATGGGAGAACTAGAAATTGCAAACAGGCAGTTGACCTCTAGAACCATGTCTCTGTCTTTCAGAAACAGGAAAGACAGGGTTAAATTACAATATTAAAGAATGACTAAATCTTTCTTGGTGTGGCGCTGTAGGATAAGCACTTGACCCTAAGGTTGGCTTGAACCTCAAGGTCGGTGGTTCAAACTCACCAGCTGCTCCTCAGAAATCCTATATAGGGTTGCTATGTGTTAGAACCGACTCAACGGCACTTAACAACACTATGTGTTGGAACTGACTTGACAGCACTTAACAGCAACATATACTGGAAGAGTCCTGGTGCGGGCTGTACGATAAGCCCTGGAGTACTAACTGCAAGGTCAAAGGTTCAAACTTGCCAGCTGCTCCTCGGAAACCCTAAACGGGGTTGCTATTAGTTGGAAACAACTTGAAGGCACTTAACAACAACATATTTTGGAAGAGAAGCCCTTATGGTGCAATGGTTAAGTGCTCAACTGCTTACTGAAAGGTCAGTGGTTCAAACCCAGTAGCTATTCCACAGGAGAAAGCCTTACAGCCTTTCTATTCTGTCCTGTAGGGTCACTATGAGTCAAAAGCAACTCGACAGCAGTGGGTTCGGTGTTTTGGTTTATATACTGGAATATTTTTCAGAGATCAAATATACAGGTCAGTCTTTATCATCATTTACCCTGGATTTGAGAAAGTAGTGATATTTTTAATACTAACTCTATACTTTGCTATAGGAGATCTGGTAGCGTAGTGGTTACGAATCGGCCTGCGAACCTTACGGTAAGCAGTTCGAAACTACCAGCTGTTCCATGGGAGAAAGATGAGGCTTTCTGCCCCCATAAAGATTTACAGCCTTGGAAACCCTGTGAAGGGTCTCTATGAGTCGGATTTGACTCCATGGAACTTAACAACAATATATTTTGCTAAAGTATATAGTTTTAGAAATAGGTACCAAGAGAGCAATAAAGGCAAGATTACATCACCCACTGCTATCATACAATGGTTTGACACAAATAGAAGTTTTATATATCCTGTTTGTGTATTTGAAAAATGCCAATTTTTCGAAGTTATTATTTGCAGATGTGGGAGAAAATCAAGCCCAAATAACAACCAAAAGAGGGTTTGTGTTTGTGAGTATATGCGGGAATAGGTCAGGACCCAGAGACAACATGAACAAATGAGTAACTCACATGGTGGAGTTAAAATTGAGCAAAATAAGAATCAACACAGTTATGTCACATAGAGAAGAGAAGAGAGGGCTTATTCTATCCCAAAGCCATCTTGTAGTGGGGGAGGGGACGGCGAAACAGCAAATGAATGAACAGATCTACAATGTCTTCTAAAGAACAAAAGGAAATGTTTGCAGGGAGTAGAAGCTAAAAATAACCCCACTGCTTACTAATTTCCCCATAGTCACATTGCTTCTCTGTGTGACTTTAGGCAACATCATTTGAATATTTCTCAAATGAGGACAAAGAACCTACAAAATTCAAAACGTTAATTTAGACATTTTAAAGAGAAAGGAATCCAGTCAGTTACTGTGTATTCTCCCACAGAGAAAAAAGGGAGAAGACTGAGAATCTAGCAGCCTGAGGGGGTCTCATAGGCAAACAGCATGGTTGCTAAGATATTATTCATTGCTACCCAGCTGGCAGATACCCTAGCTAAATTTTGTATTTTATATTTTCCCATCATTAATTATGTTTTAATTTTGAGCATTTTATCGTGGTTTGGGTGAAAGTTTACAAAGCAAATTTATTTCCCATTCAACAATCTGTACAAATGTTGTTTTCTAACATTGTTTGCAATGCCCTCAATGTTGTTACACTTAGGTACTCCTCTTGCCTTTCTGGGTTTCCCATTTCCAATTATCCTTTGTTCCTGCCCCTTCCTGCCTTCTGCACTTTGTTTTTGGGCAAATGCTCTTGTTCATTTGGTCTTGCAGAGTTGATGGTTTCTCATGAGTGTAATGTTTACCGTATAGGTCTATTATTTGGATGAAAGGTGATTTTGAGAGTGGGTTCCGTTCCAGGTCTGAAGGGTGCCAAAGGACCAGAGTCCCAGGGGTTTCATCAAACTTTATCATACCACTAAGGCTAGTCTTTTTTTTTTTTAATGATTTTGAATCTTGTTC